TCACTCGTTGTTCGAACAGTACCATCACCAACACTGCCCTCCTCCTCTTCCTCACGCCTCCCAGTCGCTGTCTATACATCCGTTTCACTCCCCGCAGCTCCCCTTATGTGCAGCACTTGGTGGATATGGGTGGAACACACTTCCAACTAACCTGGCCAACAGGGGCTCCAGAGGGAAGTTTCCCAACCTGCAGAACAGTGTCAAAAAGAGTCCCACGAAGAGCAAAGCCAAGGGCAAGGCTGGGAACAAACCGTGGCCAAATGACACACATATCTGGACAGGTCGCTCAATGGAATCCCCCTTCCTACACCATTTTGTACCAATACAGGCCCATGTTCAGGTAAGTTTCATTGGAGGATTTAGGTGGATGATTCCATACCACAGATAATTGTAGGTCACTATTTTAGAGGAAAAGTGCATGTGTTGCATTTGATGTTTTGCATCCAAACCTTAAGCTGTAAATTAGATTATAACACATTCTTACATTTTTTTGGCTGTCCAAAAAAATATTGTGACCAAATATGGTGTTTGATAGCAGTACTCAGGCCTCTTCTGATTGGCAAGTCAATCATAAGGTATTAACACCCAAAGCATACACTGCTTTCTAGTCTATATTACACTAAATGTGACATAATTCTCTAAATAAACCTCCTAATGTATTGAAGCAGACTTGAAACTAGCCCTGAAGTAGTTAGAAGTAGGTAAACTTTCTCACTTCTTTGTTATAACAGGAGCCTAGGTCCACATCTGTATGCAGTCTTCAATGTGTGCACTTATATTACCAAATGCCTCGTTCTTTTCACAAGAGGAGAACCAGAAAAGGCCTGCTGTTGGTTTAACATCAAGCTGTATGATACGGTTTATAATAGCCATGCAAAAATGGATAAATGGTTACAAACAGTCTGTTTCAACTTCCCATGTATATTATTAATAAAACATAAATATTTAAAAAGCAAATAAACATCTTCAGCATGCCAGCTGTGGTTTATTGGCTTTTGGTAGTAATTGAGCTGTACATGTGCTTCAGGCTCAGTGATCAGAGTTAGCATGTATAGTCTGATTAGCCTGATTAACATGGCTGTCCTGATTCGATTAGAGTCATGCTCCATCTTATTAACTCATTAGTCAAATGGAGTAGTATTTGCACATTAGGAAGACAGAGGGGAAAGTGATATTAGAAGTAGAGTTATTGTGGAAATGAATGTTTGTCGTCATCCCTCAGGGCTGGCTTTTATTTATTATACTTGAGGTTACTTTTAAAATAGTTTTTAGGAGAGACAAAGATGTAAATCAGGTATACTAGCATTACAAATGTATTTTTGCAAAACTAATCATCTGCCTAATTTTGGATTTAAGTTGCTTCTTTCTCTTCATGTTATTATTTTCATGCAAATATGCAACCTGTTGTTGCTACTTATTTTCTTTACCCAAGGACATTTTTAGTGTTGGTTTTCAAACAAGTTGTTAACCATGGGAATTGGTCTCCTGTTGAAAAGATTTCAACTTAAAACTACTTGGTGAGGGGGAAGCATTCATAAAGTTCAGTATTAAAAATCAGCATATTAAAGGGCCATGTCCAGTGATGCAGTGATCAGGAAGATTTTGTAACTGATGTGGTGCATTGAAGGCCAGTGAAGGCTGGAGGATAGGTGTGATATGGGGATATTTTGGCAGCCTCATCATAATCCTGACAGCACTGTTTTGCACATATTAGAGCTTCTGGAGGCTCTTGCTAGAGATCCAGATGAGGAGTGTGTTGCAGTAGGCCAGCCTGGAGGAGACAAAGGTGTTTACAAGTTATATGACATGGTAATAGGGCACCTGATTTTCTATTAGTTGGACGGTCAAAACAGCTGCTCTGTGCTTTATGTTGACTTCAAACTTAAAAAACCTGCTGCATCTCATACTGATTCTCAGCATTATCTAGGGGTTCTTGATTTCTGTTTATCTATTCATTATTAGTCTGCTTACTTAAGTGTTGTGACTGACAACCTGCTGATGAAAACACACTCTCTATCTCTCACTCTCTCTCTCTCTCTCAAGAATATCTTAATCCTGCAAAGAGAAATGAAAAATATGATGAAAGCCGTTTTCTGTCTCTTTGTTTGATGAGACAAACCAAAGATAGTCTGGATCTCTTTCTAAGCTGTGCTGTACATGACTGAACCAGGACATAATGCCATGGTAACAAAGCTGCTGTAGCAGCAATTATGTAACGACTAGCAATCACTTGAATACAGCAACGAAAACACACGTCTGGGTATGGATGGTGTGTGTACGTGTATTTGTGTGTAAGAGGCTTGTTTGTTTATATTTGCACGTTTGTTCTTTTGGCCTTTTTCATGTAACACACACACACACACACACACACACACATCCACAAACACATATTGACGTTACATAAGCGTACAGTTTGACATGGCGTGTTGATGGAATCACCAGCTGACTAGCACACTGGATTTGTCCCTCTGTGAATGACACACACACACACACACACACACACACACACACACACACACACACACACACACACACATGGACAATGACACACACACACACACACACACACACACACACACACACACACACACACACACACACACAGAAGCTGTGTACTGTGTACAGTGCTGTTGTTAAAATCCTGAGAATCGGATAGAGTTCAGGCAAGTGACAGTTAAGCTAGCTGTAGGAAGGATGTCAGTTTAAATGTATTTTAGCTTACATTAGCACTAGAGTTGAGCTTTTTAGCGTGTTGTGGATTATAATGAAAACAAAAAGACTCTTAAGTTAACTAATTAAATATTCTTCACCTGTTTAGAAAGTAAAAACTAAAGAAGATACCTTTAGCTAGGTAACAAAAGGGTAAAATGGTTTACAAATCAAAGTTGTAAATGCAACTTGTCTTGCAGAGTCAGTTTTGTTTGCTTCCAAACCCATCTGACTGTTCTCTATATTGACTCAGTATTTACTTTAGGTTTGGAGAATTGTTTGCTTTACTCTTGAACATGTAATAAGATGAACTGCCTTACAAAACACAGACAAACAGAATTAAGCCTCATCAAATAAAGGTTTATTTTGGGGCTTTTTATGTATTTATTTAGAGACATGACAGTGGATAGAGTCAGAAATCAGGGAGAGAGAGAATATAGAATAGAATAGAAATACTTTATTGATCCCAAACTGGGAAATTGTGGCGTTACAGCAGCAGGTTGTCCAAACACACAATATTAGCAAAAAACACAATATAATATTAAATACAAAGTAAATAAGCACTAAAAATATCAAAACTAAGAATGGAATATATACAACCAGGATTTAACTAAGCATTACTAGTATTAATTAAGAAAGATTGAATACAACATGAATGATAGAGATGATAGAGAGTTGGGAATGATGCGCAGGAAAGGAGCCACAGGTCGGATTCGAACCCGGGTCACCAGCTTAGAGCACTTTACACTTGCCACTAGGCTACCAGCGCCCCTACATTTTTACATGAAGTTAGAAGCAATATTTTGCATAAGAAGTAAATGATGGGGCACCAGTGGCAGAGGCTCCAGTCCTCAAAAAGCAGACAGCCCGGGTTTGAATCTGACCTGATTTCTGACTCTATCCACTGTCCTATCTCTGTAATACAGGCGTAAAAAAAATGTTTAAAAGTTATAATAATGAAAGAAAAGGAAAGTATACGATTGGATCATCCAATGAACAAACTAGGAAAACTTACAGTGAATGTGTTAACCCTCCAGTTGAACTCCTTTTCCTGCCCTTCATTCACATTTACAAAAACACACTCAGCTCCCAACAGCTGTCAGCAAAACCCCCTTACATGTTCCCTCCACATCCACAAGCTGTACTCTAAGACCCTCCACCCATGAGTCCTTTCTCCCACTGTTAATCTGTCTTCTTTATAGCTCATGTCCGTGAGTTTGTGTGCATCTGTCTGCTCACTGTGCTCCTCCTCACTGCTGTTGTCAAAGGGGACAGATCTGACTCCTCCCCCCTCCCCCCCCATACCTATAATCCCTCTGATCCCTTCTCTCTCTCTCTCTTTCTATTCCCATGTGGGATCAAGCATCCTGTCAGCTTGACTGACAGACAGTTGGACATGTGGTGGAGAGAGAGAGAGAGAGAGAGATAGAGAGAGAGTGGAAAAAGGACAATGAGGGAGGTAGAGATTAGTGTAAAGGGATAGTTGTATTGCTGCTCTGTTGCTTATTGATGCCGTGTAGTGATGTCTGGTTGGACTGTCCATTTGGCTAGCTAACTTCTTTGATGCGTGGTTAGCTTTTCCGTTTGTAAACTTTTTTTGTGGCTGCGTCACAAGAGCTGGAGCTTCAGATTATCTCACTGGGATTGGCCTGCTCTTCGCTGGTTTGTCGGGGAAGCCTAGAGCTGCAGACGCTGGACTTGGAGCTAGCAGTTAGATCCTTCTGGGGCAAAAAAAGGAGAGGGAAAAGTGGATGACGAAAGGTTGATAAGATGGGTGCTCCTTTTGCACATACAAGGAGAAAAGCACATATTGTGGCTGTTTAGAATCTAGTTTAGGGGTTTTGTCATTTGCTGTGCTGGCTTAGGAAGCAAGAGAGAAGATAATGTTGATCATCTCCTGCTGCTTTAGCCCTGGCTGTGCTGTGCTGGGCTTATCCAGGCCATAATGCGGTTGAAATAAGAGTTCAATCTGAGATGTAAAATTACAGTACAGGCTCTTATGATGCAGTGCTGAATTGCTTGGAGTACTTTTTCAGAGCTTCTTAAAAACAGTCTGTTAGTTTACAGTGCTGTGCCTGCAGTGTAGTACATAAGTATTGTCCATTATAAGGGCTGTGCAGTATGTCATGCGGTGTATGCAGTCGCTCCGTGGTGGTAATCTGTAGCAGATGTACTCGACATGCTGTACCAAAACATGAGACGAGTAAGTCATGATTGTCAATATTAGTGAAATACGATCTGTCTTTAGTGGCTCTTTGAAATTAAAAGGTGTTGTACTGTTCTCTTTGCAGGCCAACCCCCCTCCAGTGGTGGTCAACACCGACAGCGTCGAAACCCCCCCTTATGTGAGTACTTGTTCAATATGGTGACGCAGAGTTTAAACCTTTATAACACGATGCCAGAACTGTAAAAGGACAGACAGTGGCCATGTCTGGGTCCCATGTATGTTGTCTTTTAAGACTTTCCTGCAAAAGGGCAAGTAAGGGCAAGCCCACACAGATTCAGGATAAATGTCAGTGATCCTGAACCCTGATTTCTGACCTTTGGTGGCTAGTCTCACATTAACAGTGTAGGTCAGGCGTATTAAAGAACTTCTTTTCATGAGGGCAAGATTTGAAAGAATTTGACTGCCAAAGGGCTGCACCTTTACATTTCTTATCAATGAACTCTAAAGCTTACATTTACTAATGATGAAACTTTTTCATCCCTAAAGAAAAGAAGATTGATGTTTAAAAGAACAAACTAGTGCCTTTTTTTACATCTTTAAAACAAATATTGTCTCAAAACGTTCTTCTGCTTGGAGGTTTGGCTGCTTGTAAGCATATTGCAAAAGTCTGAGTTTATCGCAATAAATAAGACAAAATATTTCATGTAAACAAACAATAGTTTTCACAACTGCGCCAATTCAGTCAATCAGTTCAGTTTATTTGGCCTATATAAATTAAAAGCACAGTTTACAGTCAGTGCAATGAAATGCATTTTGCCCAGACACCTTCCCATCCCTTGAAAGAAAATGGCAAAACTCTGGATTTATTGGAATGAAATAGGAAAATGATTTTATGTAAATAAACAATACTATTTCAGCAAGCATGCTAACATGTTTCAAATTGGACAAAGGCCTATAGGTATAATATTCCTGCTTTAACACCATTATTGACACCACAATATTGATTTTCTACTTTGGTTTCAGTTTAATGTTACAGTGATGTCATTCTTGTATGTGTTGTCTTCTGTGTGCTCCTGCTGCAAAACAAATTTCCCTTGTGGGACAATAAAGAATTTGTATCTGAATAATGATGCAGTGAGAGGAGGCTTAAGCTAGCTTTCAGCTACTCTCAGATGAATTGGTGCCAATTTAGTGGTGAAAAAAGCTTTTTGAATGTATTAGGATTCAGGTGGGACATGTTGTTAAAACAGGTGAAAAAAAAACAGAAGATACAGATAGAGTATTTCTAATAAGCACTCTTAAATATTTATTTATTTATCACACTTCATTGCAATATTTGTCTATTGATAGAAAAGCTAGAGAGATTGAAAAGTGGTCTAGATGTAAACATGTTTTTAAGGTAAATGTGGAGAATATAACTTGAACTTTGCAGCAGAGCGGTGTATCTAAGCCTCTCTGAAGAGGTCATATGGAGGTCACAATGTGGAGGCCTCCAGTTGAATTGCTTGTACTACATTAATTTATGACTGTTTTAGAATTTAACAAAAGAATAATCTGGGTGTGGGATTCAATCATCAGATTTATTTTAGCAAACACAGCAAAGATAAAGCATGACTCAAAGCAGCTTTACCAAAACCCACAAAGTACTCGTTCAAGCTTTACTTGCAGATAGTCGATATTACTAATCTTTGTTTAACATGCAGCCCTGACATTGTTTTGTTTTTTTCATCTCTTTGTTGTTACATTTATAGGCACACAAATAAAGATATGGGATTCTATACGCAATACCCAAGTAGCACCTTAATGCAGAACATTTATTAACCTTCATTCTTGCCACTGTTTTCAAAATTATACTGATATCAAACGTGTAAAATTTCTATGCAAACTTCTTAGTTGTGAATTGTAAGGTTGAAAATGTTGCTGCTACATCAAAGTGTTGCATGATCTACAATTATCTGAAACAATTCCTACAATTTTTAACAGAAAAAACCCAAAACAAATCAGTTCTTAAAAGACTTGTTCAGTGTTCACTTTTGACTGACTTATTTCATTTAAAAAACTGTTCAGTTATGTCAACGGTTGTCCTCAGTTAGTGCTCAGCAGCGTCCTGGATTTGGACTGAATCTCGGTCCAGAATTAGATGGATCCAGATGTCATTTTACTGGTAGCCAGCTGCCGCAGAGAATCTGTGTCTGTTGTTGTTAGATAAGTTTATTATGTAATTACTGTGGAAATACTCCCCTCTGAACTGCCTGGAAATATCACACAAAGAGAGGGAAACATCGAGTTTTCTCACGCAGATTTCACTTTCAACTCATATGATTGTGGGCTGTTTTTTTTTTCCCCCAAAAGACTCATGTGTACAGCAAAAACAGCAATAATATGAAGTGATATCATAAAGGCAAATACTTAAATTTTAGGCAAAGTTGACACTTTTTAAACATCAAACAAAGCCATAAAGGAAGAAGGCTTTTCATAGTGTATGATAACGTCTCAATTTCAAATTAAATTATGCAAAATCTGGAACCTTCAACAACATTAATTCTAATGAATTCTGTCCTTGATTATAGTAGATAATCCAATATAATAGATAATAAGAGTGTGTGAGTGTGTGCTGGGTTATAGCTGAAAAACCTCGCTGCACATGATGGCTGATGGAAGACTCTGCCCTCTATTTGAAACCACAGAAATTCAAAATCTAAACTAATCTGACCGCACAGAGACACAGATTACAGCCAAAGGGATTACATGGGCCATTGGGATGCCACTCGACCACAGTGTTTGTGTGTACGTGTTTGTATCTGCATGTGTGCGCAGCAACTATAACGGCAACGGGGCGCTCATATCCCGATATGAACCAAGAATATAGAATACATCAGATTTTATTTCCATGCTATTAATTCACTCAGGAAATAAAGATTTATGAATATGTTTTGTAGTGTAGGCGGTCAGGGCTGAGCAGCCTGATTGGCTCCTGGGTAATTCATCAGGGATGTTCTTAAATATGACATCAGAGATACATCATCACATAATGCGTATTACCGAGTTAATCTCTGGGATTCATGCGTCATTCATGAAACAAATATCTAAATTCACTTTTCTGTAGCACGAAACTGTAATGCAGTTTGTTTGACATGTGTGAATTAATGATCAGACCAACAGCTCACACTTTGTGTCAGGTGAAGAAAGTTGGTTTGAAATGACATCAAATATACTGTCAGACAATATTCAAAGCACATTCATTTCATGTGAAAGCAGGGAGGGATTTGATGAACTTTAAGTTTTAATGTAAGACAAAGAAATGTTACTTACATGCACAGAGAAAAACATCAAGTATGAATTATAAACATCCAAAGCTGCACAGTAAACTTGAACAAGTATTTAAGTGTCCATTAAAGTAAAAACAGCTGTTCTCATAATGACACATCTCTCTTCCTCTTCAACAGGCCAATGGAACAGAAGCAGACTATGAGTATGAGGAAATTGCGTTGGAGCGGGTAAGAACTTCAAAGACAATAATGGAAACTCTTTTTATGCAGGCCTGTTATGCACTCTGTATATGTACACTAGCCCTCCACAGTATCTCCATATGTTCAGCTTGACCCACGTCCTCCCCCCCTACTCCCCCCATAATCACACTACAAACATCATCAGTGCTGTCAGAAGCTGGATGATTTTTGATGCCTGTCTACGCTCAACTGTAAGAAGTTGAGTCTTTGTTTGGGAAAAAAAATGCAAAAAAAAAGGCTGAGAACGAGTGAAACTATAAAGTTAACAAGTTAAGAACTTATTTTTGGGTCAGGCCTTTTGTTTAAACTCCAGAGAGCTAATTGTAATAAGTTTAGGGCAACTTGATTTCAGCTAAAAGAAAGAAACTAGAGATCTTCAGTCTTATTTGAACCCAAAGCTGCCACAAGAGAAGGAAAGACAACAGCAGTGATCCATAACATCTGCATGTTGGTAAAGTTTTTTAAGTCTTTTGGTGTCTCATAAATATGAAAAAAGTCAAGTTTATATCTATTACAAACACAAAGCAAAGGAGGTAACTAGATATAAAATGCACAAATACATTTCTCACTGTTTCTGTACCAAATTTAGACAGTGTTCAGGAGTTTTCTAGTGATAGTGAGTCATTAAAAACTACAAATGATTGCATATTGGATGCCAATGACTTCTATTTTTAATGCTGTGCTATCAAAAGAGATATCAATACTGTTTGATTTTTACGAGTATCGTATTGAAGTTTAAATCTCTGGTATCAGAACAAACCTACAACTTTTACCAATGCGAGATGTCAAGTCAAACAAATGACTTAAATCAGCCTTTTGAAGCTAACAGGCTAAGAAAGAAAACACTGTCCCTGGTTCTCATTATGCTAAGTTTTGATCATTTGCATTTTATATAGAGCTGATGTATTTTATCAAAAGGTGTTAGGCCATCAATGTGGATGATCTGAAAACTCTTTTCTTAAGAGATACTGTGTATACAGAATAGGCCGAAACATATTTTTGTTCATGACCTATGGGCATTAAAATATGCTGTATGCTTAAAACGGATAGCTCAAAAGTTATCATAAACTCCAGCTAGCTTGTTTATAGATCTTGTTTTCTGCACACCAGTAAATAAAGAGACTGTTTAGATTACAAGTGATTATTTAGAAGTTGTATGAAGAGGAAATCATACAAAGATAACACAATATTTTTGGGGCCAAAAACAGGTTAACATTATTGCCCTAAATATTCCATTTGGAGGTTAGGCTCACAGACAGGGTTGACATAATCATAAGAAATATGACATTGGGCATTTTTCAGGACACAAAAACATCTATTAAGTTCACTAGTCGTATTATTTACCTCCACTGGTCGCTAATGTCTTATTATAATGGAAAGTTATTTTATATATTTTCAAGAGTTTCTGAATGATCTTATTCATTCTAAAATAAATTCTGGGGGGTAAAAGTGTCAGCTATCTCTGTTCTCACTTCCCCCTCCTCAGTCCAACCCTGCTGACCCTATTTCTCAGTCCTCTCTACTCTTCATCCATCCTTGCCTACTTTCTTTTTTCCTGTTTCAACCCCTCCCCATCCCTCCCCTCCCTCATTATATTCCCCTTTCTCTCACCCTGAGGCTCTCTCTCTCTCTGTCTCCCCTTCTCTATTCTCCTGTGACCTGGTTCTGTCTGCATGACAGGATCTGCTTTAAAGACACGATGGACATACACGCAAACACAGGCACAGACATTACACTTTTGCTTTTAAACCCGGTGACAAGGCATGACAGAGTGAGGGAAACTCATGCAGCCATGGGTGTCATCAGTTACTGAGTTCAACTCATAGAGGTGCTCTACTATGTGTCATGTGGTAATAAAGAGAACAAGTTGACTTGTTCTTCATTTGGAAGACAAACTTCTTTTTTAAGGAGGGAAAATGTAGGCGATAAAGATGCAATGAGTTACATTTGGTCAGGAATGAAAAGAAACATTACTATCAGTGTGTTACTCAAATATAGATTTAAAAGTATCCGGCTGTCTCAATGAAGATGTTATCTGTTCTGTGGTAGGGCGCCACATGAAACAGAGTTTTTAAAAAATGAGTTTTTATTAAATGAGTAACTCTGTCATTTATCCGAGATCATCCAGTCTGAAATTATAGTTGGCAATATATTAATAACTTTGAAAACTTAAAAAATATTGCCATTAATTGGAAAAACAGTTATAATGTTCTAGTAAAAAAAAAAAAAGCAAAATTCTCTAGCTTAAACTTAAAATGGTCTATTTTCTGGTTTGACTGGTCCTCACTGGAAGCACACAGATTTTTATCTGACATATGAGGTTGTTGTTTTGGTCTTTAGAAAACAAAACTATTCTTTTTTTTTAACCATTTTCTGAAATGTTATGGAGAAAACAATTAATTGATTGATCAGCCAGGAAAAACAATAACAGTGTATATGATCCCTGACTGATCTACTCACCTCAAACATCAGATATACCCAGTATAACTGTGTTCAGAAGGTCGATTCTCCTCATTACAACTCTTTCTTTCTTTCTTTCTAAATATTTTCAGGGTAACTCAGGTCTGGGGTTCAGCATCGCAGGAGGGACAGACAATCCTCACATTGGAGAAGATCCTTCTATCTTCATCACCAAGATTATACCTGGAGGGGCCGCCGCCCAGAATGGACGACTCAGGTACACACACACACACACACACACACACACACACACACATAAATAAATCATTAAATAATTAAATATTTGAGATAAGAATGAATTTAATTAATCCATGAGAATATTATGAAGAAATTATTCAAAAGGGAAAAAAGCCATTGAATATTAACTACATTTTTATGGATCTAATGGTAACAAAAATGTTAAAGACATAAATATGATTAATCTTGATTTGACCAGCTCTCAGTCACCGTTACTGATCATCACTGATATTTGATTGATGATCATTTCTGATCACAGTTTTATTAAAAAAAAAAAAGAAGTCGGTGCAAATTGATCAGTAATCATCTTGTCATTTTCAAAGCTGCCATTGTTTTTGTTTCCCTTCTCATGTTTGGACCTTTCTGTTCGTTACCGTTCTGTGCAGGGTGAACGACTGTATAGTCCGTGTCAACGAGGCAGACGTCAGGGAGGTGACCCACAGTGGAGCTGTGGAGGCGCTGAAGGAGGCAGGAGGTCTGGTCAGACTGTGTATACGAAGAAGGAGGAGCCTCACTGAGAGAGTCATGGATATCAAGCTGGTCAAAGGGCCCAAAGGTGAGAAAAAACTACAAATGTAAAAAGGCCTCTCGATGCAGTCCGTCATCAGTAAAACAGACATATTTTTGTTTTTGGCTTCATTCAGCACATTAAATCAGTACTTTGAGATTAGAGTAATGAATTTTGTTGACAAGCTTCTTTTACCTCTGCGGCATGAGGAAATAGAGTTATTAATTTGTGCCTGAAGTAACAGCATATCATGAAGTCACATTTTTTCCAATTCTGCTCAGAAGTCTGCATGTTTCAGTGTAGTATATGTGATCATTGGAAAGTAAATAGTGACAGAGCATTCAAACATTTAAGCTAAAAATCTGTATTGTATTCACTCTAACAGCCAGAACTGGTAAAAAGGGAGAGCGAACTAAAAAAGGCCGGACTGCAGCATATTTAAATTCATGAAATAGAGAACATTGTCAGAAAACCTGTTAGAACCAAAATACGACTTGTTGCTGTTTTCTTTCAGGTTTAGGATTCAGTATAGCAGGTGGAGTTGGAAACCAACACGTCCCAGGTGACAACGGCATCTACGTGACGAAGGTCATCGAGGGAGGAGCTGCACACAAAGACGGACGGCTACAGATAGGGGACAAACTTGTGGCTGTGAGAAACACTTTGTTATTTGTCTTCATTCCAGTTCATTCTATTTGTGGTATGCTCTTATCATCAGGCTGTCTAGTGTGTCCATTGTAGTAAACATTAAAGGAATTTATTTTTGATTGATTCACACAATGACACTTAGTTTTCTAAGTGAGACACATAAAAAGAAATACTGAAGACGTTTGGAGAAGTTGACGTTTAAGTAATGAATATCCCTTACTACCATTCAAAATTAATTCTAATATCTTTAGGTTTCATTTTTAACCCTCAGTCAAAGCAAGCCAGAAAAAGTGTGCTCTTGTGTAATGTAATTGTTTGAACGTTACTTGAGCCCGTTCAGTTTTTACTTTAAGGCTTTCCAATTCCACTTTTAAATCAAAACACTTACCTACATGTTCCTACATTTACCTACTGGGTTTGTTTTAAGGACAATGTACAAGGGTTTAACTTTGTGTTTTGCTCTTCACGAGGCTCTTAGCGGATACACAGAACACAAGGTACAACCAATTAACCTCAAACTTTATCAAACAAAATAATAGTTTCTACTCTAAGATAAGATACGATATATTAATGGTTACTGTATAAGTACAATGAAATGCTGTCTAATTCTACTATCCTGCTATTTATTTTACCTTTATTGTAGCAGGAGGCCCTTGAGATTAAAATCCCCTTACTGAGGCAGCAACCATGCTGCAGTGAAATTGTATTTGTATCTGTGAGATAACCCAAACAACATGGTGAGAAGCTGCTCATAGCTGCTGTAGGTTTGGATAAGAAGATTACACACATATGATGTCAGATTACCCAGCACGGCCTTGCTCACATGAATTCATAAATGAAGCTGTCTACACAGATTTAGTGATGGCCAACCCACCAATTCATAAAGCATACAGTGATGAGTTCAGGACCCAGGGTTATAAATCAGAGCGCGCCGTGGTGCTCACAGAATCTAAAGCATGAAGTACACAAAAGGAAGCATGCATGTAGATAACATCAGGACATCCGTTTAATACACTACAAACTAAAATCAAAAAGGGTATACTCAGTTAAAGTTTCTTCAGGGGATTTTTTAATGCAGACTTAAAAACAAATGACATAATACTTGATAACTTTTTCAATTGAGTCTCTCTTTAGATAGTGAAGATTTGGTTACATGGGGATTGCCATAGAGACAGTAAATGATTTGTTTTTACAGCATTCAAAGTGCCTTAAAACCCCTTTAAGTGACTCTTAAAGCTGCTGAAAAGTGATCTATTTTATCTATTACTCATGGTTTGGCTCAGAAGTATCAAGTATGTGAGTATAGGTATAAAAAAAAAGACACTTGAACACACCATGGAAACAGCAACTACACTGCAGGATAGCATCCTCTCTGTATTTTTCAATCATTAACTTTAACATTATCTCAATACTGCGCCTGTGAGTTTGTCCACACCTATCCGAGGTAATGTGTCAATTGTCTTCATGTGTGTCCAGGTAAACGCCTCCTGTTTAGAGGAGGTCACCCATGAGGAGGCAGTGGCTGCTCTCAAGTCCACGCCTGACGTTGTTTACCTGCGTGTGGCCAAACACACCTCCCTTTTAATCAACGACAACTTCCCTCCGCCCGATGTCACAAACTGTGAGTACCAGAGACTTACCCACAGTATACCAAATGTTTTTCTATAACACGGCCTCTCTGTAAACACAGCATCAGGCACACTTTGTGGTTACATTTTGCCCTGTGAATGTAGCACACTCTGAGAAGACGGAGCATTTTAGGGCCAGATGGTGCTGAACCATAAAGAACAGCAAGAGACAAAGCTGTTGGTGCAGATTTCTGCTTAGGAGGGGGTTTTAACAGAAAGTTTACATCTAATGCTGGGCTCGTAAAAGTACTTGAAGTATTTCACAACGTGTAACTTGATTTCACCTTCAAGAAACTATTTAAAAGTAACATGCTCAGCAGCTGATAGATGTTAACAAACACTGTTTTTTATATAATTCTGAAATGCTAATGGCAGAAGCATGAGACAACATTGTGATTTTTTTTTAATGGAATAAAAACTTGCAGGCACATCTTCCTCAATCGAAGAAGCCTGACCAGTTTTTTTTTCTGCGAAGAAAAGAGTATTTCTTTTCATATTTAAGGTTAAGGTTAAGGTTCCTTTTATAATTACAGAGAAAGGTAAATGTGTTGTGCAGAGAGGTGATTCAGTGGTCATACAACACATAATAATACAGGTCAATTAAAAAGACCAGACAGAAAACATTCAAACAAACATTGTCCATTGCATCAGGTCATGGCAGGGTCCTTACACAGACACCCACTCAAAGGTTTAAAATACCCTGGCATGGTTAAAGTGCATCATCTTGTGCTAGATTTACTTTCAAATGACTGTAGCTTAACTAAGGCTCTAACATTTACACCTATGTTTCAGAAGTTGCCCTTTCCTATCAAGAACATTTTTACTCAGCAGGTGTAACTTAACAGAAAGCTTGCTGATTAGAAGTAAGTGGGCTTTTATGAAAAGGGGTGTTGAAGAGTTAGAACAGAGAGAGGATGAGGGGCCGCTGTAACATTAATAAGGCTTTTGTTTGAAGCCATTTTAAGTTGGTTAGACACATTATGTATTATGGTTTAAAATATGTAATGATTCATCAAGCTGACAGTTTTAAATGTGCGATATGAAGGACTAATAATCAGGCTTGATAAATTTAGTCCACTGGATGACAGCCACTTGAATCTTCTCCAAATAAGCATATTATCAAACAACATGTTACCAAACAGCATATATCACACCACCGCCTCTCACAGTCTCTCTGATTTTATACAGAACATTCCCAGTACTGACAGTAAGAATAGAAACACAGAACGAGGGTGAACATTTACCAATCAATCTGAACTTTTTTTGTTAGTATTTAAAATAATAATCTTTAAATAGAGTCCATGATTGGATCCATAAATGATCTTAAATGTGTACCAGTAAAGAATAGTAATTCAAAATGTGTGTTTGTTTCCTCCAGCTTACTCCCCACATCAAGACAACCATATAAGCCCCTACATGAGCGGCAGCCAATCAGTAAGCCCTGCCCCGTTGACCACGCCCAGATACTCACCGCTGCCGAGGGCTATGGCTGGAGACGACGACATCCCCAGGTGAGATGTGACTCATAAACATGTGGAGAATTATGAGACTCAATAATAATAATAATAGCTTTATTTATATAGCACCTTTAAAAACAAATGTTTACAAAGTGCTGTGACAGACAGAGCAAATACAGCAACACGACAACAGAACAGAGATCAACAGAGAGGGCAAAATTATAAATGTAAATAACAGGAATAAGATTCAACAGGCAGGTATGGAGAGGCAGTTCAATACAGTGAATGAAAATTAGTTTAAAATCAATCAGGAGACAACAAAATTAAAATTGATGGAGAGTGGGATGACATCACATCACAGGCTGTAAACACAGAATGAAGATAAAAAGAAGAGATAAACAGGGCATTGGTTAAATGAATAAAGCAACAGAGAGCTGAAGAGTTAAACCATAGAAGGAGTAGGAGTTTAAAAAGACTAAGAGCAGTAAAATGAATTCAGGAAGGGAAATACTTAAAGGCTAAAACATTTAAAGAAGAGAAAGATAAAAAGGTTAAAAGCAATAAAATTAATAAAAGGAAGGGATAGATCTTTAAAGGAGAAATCACATAAAAGCAAGTCTATAAAAGTGAGTTTGAAGAAGTGATTTAAAAGATGCCACTGACTCTGCCCGCCTTATCTCCTCAGGCAGGTTGTTCGAGGGCTCAGTAGACAAAAGATGTTTTTCTGATTGGTGCAATGAAAACCTTTTTTTACATTATTACATTCTACATATAACTCCATTAGACCAAACATATTCATGATGTGATTATTGTATTACACTCAAAAATGACCAAATATGCATAACTATACTTATCTTTATGTATAAGATTGTATATCCCATTATCTACAGTATGTCAGCTCACGTCTGAGGAATACATTTTCAAAAAACATCATTACGGTTCTTTTCAAAAACATGAATGAAACAAAGTTTATAAGTTGGGCTAAACTAGTGGGAAGAAATAGTTTTTGTCCTCTTCTTCTTATTTTACCTTCATGTCGTCCTCCTGTGAGCTCTTACTGCTCCAAAACAACAGATTCTGATACATTAGGAGTCCCTGACGGGCATGGACAACCTAAGATGTACAGTGTGACCTCTGCTGCTGCTCCCTGTGCTGACACACACACACACACACACACACACACACACACACACACACACACAAACACATACACAAACTCCCAGTGCTGCTCTACTGTCTTTAATCCATTTTAATGGACGGATTACATCCAATCACAGCCCTCGTCACTCAACTGGCGTCACTGTGGTTACCAGAATATGACTCATTTCGTCATAGTCCTCTGGGCCAATCATTGCCCTTTGATTATAATAAATCTGATAAGCCACAGACTGACTGCATAGCGGTCATATTGACGTCTGCCATGCTTTATTCTCGGCCTTCTTTTTCCCCCTCTGCCTCTTATTCTCTCCCCTCTGTATCTATCCACGTGTTTAGATTCTCATGCAAATAGAGGATTAAAGCTTTTAGTAAATGTCCACTGAGTGTTCACAATAGAAAAGAAGAATCTGCTTTCTCTTTCAGCAGATGATTTCATGTGAAAGTGAGTGAAGGATGCACTAATTCAGCTATTTTTAATTGTACTGATGCCAATATCTGTCCAAACTGAAACTCTAATTACACAAATTCTAATAGCTGTATCCTAAACCGAGCTGCAGGGAATGTTAACATGGTAACGCCTGGACATTTAAACTAGGCCACTAGCCCATATTAATGAATGTAACCTTTAAATTATACACAGAATCTTTGTGACGCTTATTAGGGATTCTGTGTTAAATGAAATGAAACTTTTTATGACACTTATTAAGGAATCATTGTTAAATGAAATGAAACTCCTAAGAAGGATATCGAGTATGTGCGCACGCTCTTTTCAAATAACCCGAAAGCAAGCTTTGTTTTATGATTCATGTACTGTTTTGTTCATGTTTTTTTTTTCTGGGAGTGCCGTTTGAATAAATTAACAGAAATAATGTGGATCAATCTTTCACGGTTTCTCATCCACTAGTTTCATATTGATGCACTCATCTTTGTTTCTTTCTTGTAGTCAGAGTGTTATGTAGATGTTGAGTATTCATACTTAAAGTTGTTCACCTTTTGATCATGGATGACTTCAGTGTTTCAGAAGAATGTGGGCTATTATGACATTATATATATATATATTTTTCACGAGGACAATATGATTGTTGAGTGGTTTGCACACTCTGATGGAACTGCTTTGGATTCTGTCATTAACATCAATCTGCACGTTTTATATTGTTAAATCTGGATTTCTTAGTACGGGATTCCTGAGTGCAGGAATGAGACGAAACCCTTTCTGGTTATGATCTCCAGTGGGAGCTCGGTTTCAATTGATTATATCTACTTGAAGTTGTTAATAAATCATTGTTTTGTTTTTTTAAAGCTTCTCAAGTGCAATCTCATTACTTTCATTACCTTCTCACTGAACGTAACAGTACATATAGGCTGAGTCAGAAGTAGGTGTGTGTGTGTTCTGGACATAACAGTAACTCACTGACTGTGTTGGTGCAACAAAACAGAGATAGTGCCATACTGACATCTGCTGGTCATTTTGGTGAATTATCCCAATTTGAAAAACCCTTTCCTCTCTCTGAGACGTTCCATTTTCAAATACACGTTCATCTTGTACACATTCTGAAACCATAAGAATACATATATATATATATATAAATATATAGGTTAACACTTCAACACTGTTTTCTCATTTTTAGTTACACATGTAAAAAGTTAAATGTATGTCAAATATTCTTAGACAATGGTCAAGCAGAATTTATACTAAATATCAGCAAATCCTTGAAGCAGCAGAAAGGAACCAATTATCACATGTCATTACTCATCACAGTACCTCCAAAACTAAATCCTAATTTAAACAAATAATAATGAGTGATGTACTTATTTATAGTAAACCATTAGAAGAGCCTTTTCTTAGTTTTCCCTAACTGTTATTTTATGCTCTTGGTGTTATTCTCCTGTTGTTTAATACTTCTGTTCTTACTCTGTAGCTCTTTGAGGTTTGTCTGTTATGTAAAGTGTGTTACAAATAAAACATTTTATCATTATTATAATTATGGATACCATCATATTGATCAGTGTGTGTTTGTTTCATCTGTGTTTCCGTAGAGAACCCAGGCGGGTGGTGCTCCAGCGAGGGTCCACAGGTCTTGGTTTTAACATTGTTGGAGGGGAGGATGGAGAGGGAATCTTCATCTCCTTCATTCTTGCTGGAGGTCCGGCTGATCTCTGTGGGGAGTTACGAAAAGGAGATCGCATCTGTCGGTAAGAACTAAGGCCTTCTATAAGCGGCACACACAGAAATATAATACAAGCACTTTCACAACTAATAATATCAATAACTCTCCTCTTTACGTTATTATAACTGGGTTATAATGGCTGCTCCAGGGAGTCTTCCTGCCACTTCATTTATTTTGAGTATCACTTTCTTTGCACATTCTCAGTCACTCAGTCGGGCATCGATGCTGTAATAGCTGAAGCATGTTTTAAAGCTTCATCCTGTGTTCCACTAAAGATAAATATGGCTTTCATATCCTTCAGACAGCATTCAAACAGGATTAAGTCATCATACTGTAGAGGGACTGATAATCCCTGCAGGATGACACTGACAATATCATGATGCAAGTCCTGACATAGAGGCTTTGTATGCATTCAACTCGGTTTCACTTTAACACATGCACACTTACACGTGACCGGTCACCTGTGGATATTGACCCACCAAGATGTTCAGTGCTGTATACATTCATTTCTATTGATCCATGCATGGGGCTCTAATTCGTTGTGTGTGTGTCTGTGCCTCTGTGTGCTTGTAGGTGAACGGTGTAGACCTGTCCAGTGCAACACACGAGCAGGCAGCTGCAGCTCTGAAGAACGCAGGAACCAACGTTACTATAGTAGCACAGTACAGACCTGAGGGTGAGTACAGCAGCCAAACACAGCACACTGACATTCAAGCAAAGAGTCTGATTGTATTTTGCAATCAGTTGTTGCACTGCAAAGTTACGACGTTCTTTTGTCAAGCTTGGGGATGATTGCGGTAAAACAGGGTTAAAACTTTTAACCAATTTCCAAAATATACACAGGCTGTCAGCCAGGTGTTAGAGGAATTGTTGCTACAGTTCATATGGATGTGAAATCAATGAACTCCTCATGCATGCTGTACTGACTAAGAAAGCTTAATTATTAGTTAAGCTGAGTTGCTGTTGGAACTGTGTCATAATTACTTACATGCACTCTGTCTTGCTCTGCTGGATTTAGGTATACACTGTGACTCAAAAAACATGACTGAATATCCAACCAGCCTAAACTCTGTAAACTGATTCCATAACATTATCTGCACTCAAATGTTGGGATTCCATCCCCACTCTTTAAAGCAGAGGTTGTTAGCTTAGTTCTCAAAACAAGAAGGCAGACACTAGATATCCAAGCTGTTATAGCCTGCAGTTCTTCTCGGTCAATGTTTATATCAGATGCCGGTGCAAGTGGCCTCAACAAAAATGTTTCGCAGCTTTGTTAAACTCATGTATAAGATAAAATTAACGGGTTTATGGTTTATGCAAAACCTTCTCTCTAGGTAATGATCAGGTGGATCCTCATCCATTTTTTCTGCATGAATTCATTTTAAAATTGGAAGCAGTGCTCTAAACTCAAGAACCAGGTTGCAATATTAATGTATCATAAGTTTATTGTTTTTTAGATATTGGGTGTTTTTATAAAGCAGGTTGAAGTTCACACTACAGAATATCTGCCCAATCATTATTACTGGAATCATGACCTTACTTACAATGGTATGAGTGACGTGACTCTGCAAATTCACAGTTTTTGCGACACACACACACACACACACACACACACACACACACACACACACACACACACACACACACACACACACACACACACACACACACACACACACACACACACACACACACACACACACACACACACACACACACACACACACACACACACACAGCAGCTTCTTTAACAAGCACTAACCTGGATCTACTGGGAGTCACTAAAAAACCTGTAACCTAGGTAACCAGGTTATAACTGCTGACCTGCTCAGCTAATGGGGTGCTGTCAATGTGGGGACAAGCACACAGACACAGACACACACAGACACACACACACACACACTCACAGGTCCCCTGGTCCCTGATGCACTATGGACTTGTGTTTACAGGAAGTGAAATGTGTGTGTGTGTGTGTGTGTGTGTGTGTGTGTGTGTGTGTGTGTGTGTGTTTCACTGTTATGGGTCTCTTTCTGGTATCAGCTATGTTTTATTCAGCCCTGGAGGAGGTCCAGGAAGATGTTGTTATTGAGAAAACCAACTTAGAAAACTCAGGATAACAGGTCCTTGAAAAGTTTGCAGAGAAACATAATCAAACGTATTAAATAAATTGTATCTGCAGAAATACAACATTTTTTTAAGAACCATACAAATGATTCATCATTTAATGTATGGTTGGCTAATTAAATCTGTGAATGAATTAAGAGTCTGCTGATGATAAATCCTGCCAATAATACCCCAAATAAAGTGTTTAATGAAGTATTTCTTTAGAGTTTGTTGTAAATGTCCAAGGGTCAGTCTAAAACACAAACATGTTTTTGGACCTACGAGTAAAAAGATATCGTTAATCAAAGTCAGGTAAAAGTTTTGAGTTCTAAAGACCAGTGGAGAGAGGAGGACAGGTGGCAGTAGGTCAGACTGCTTCGGGGTTCAGGGTTCAGTTAGCAGTGGGTAAAAAGGCCTTAGGACGAAGCTAAATGTTAACGAGTGTTCAGATGATTTATGAGGTCGTTTACTTCACTGAGTCAACAGGTCGCTAATTAAAATGCCCCTTGTGATGAGTTTGAGAATCATCATCATCATCAACTTGACGCTAATGTTTGTGTCAAGGGCTAGAACGTTTGGAGGAAAACAGAGGAGGTGTTCCAGCCAGAGCATCACCTATACAAATGGATGTTTGCCAATCAAGAGTCAAAAACACAAAGTTGTAGACTGTCAGAACATAGATAACTTCCTCAGTAGCTACGGTATTTAAATGTGCTGGGAGCTGATGGAGCCAGTACATGTATGTGACCCTCACATTGTGCTATGGGACATGGGTTATGTTTATTAAAAGGTTTTACATATTGTACTTGATAAATAGAATGTGAATTTTAATCTTAAAAGAGAAGGCTTTTTTTTTAGGTATGTCCCATGTTAATTCCTCTTCTCAATATGATGATGATATGATATGATATGATATGATGTATTTTTGTTAGGTTGATGCAGAAGAAGAAATGTCAGAACTGAGACGTTAAGTTTAATCAAGTGCCACTTTGATACAGTCCCTGGAATCACAAAAAAAAGTTTGAATGTCAGAATGTATTGCCGATTATAATAAAAAACAATTAAAATCAGACAAACTAAACACTGACCTCGTGACCTTAAGAAGTTGTCTCGTGTTGCCTCTCAGCAGGGATCCTCGTGAATAAGCAGTTTGTAGAGAGCATAGTGAGTATGTTGGGGGCACACGGGTGGATGATGGGGACATATTGTGACAGTGTCGGAGTTGGTTTGATGATGGCTCTTCTTTCTCAGACACCTTCTGTGTAAGTTATGGGAGTGTGTTTTGTGTCTGCAGTGTTTGTTCGGTAGGATCAGCACCATGGACAGCACCCTAAGAGTTGGGACGACGGTCTTTATCAAACTCTCTGTATGAAAGCATCAGATGCAGCACACTGAAACACATCCAGCTATGCCTGTATGCAATCAGAAACAAGGTTTATACATGTATTGTTAGTCAGTGTTTCTTTTTTTTAAGAAGTAAGGAAATACTACGAATGCCTATTCTCCTCTCAGCTGGCATGCTGGGTCTATATTTTATTGACAGCAGCTTACAGGTGGAGTTCTGGCAGGAGATCTAGAGAAGAAGTAAACAAAGTTGTGATGAATCTTACAAGCCACAGGCATATGGTGTTTTGTTTTTCATGATTTTAAGGAGTATGGAGAACAGCCTTTAAACAAAACACACTGACACTGCTGCTTCTTTTGTCATGCTGTTTGACGTACCACAGCTGCAAGCTATCTATATCTAAAAACTGACTTCAGCAGTGCACCTCTGACCTCTGTCGATCCTTGTTTGGATGGTCATTCAATTAAAGTACTTGTTAGTGTTAGGGAGTTAGAGAGGGACACTTAGCCAATAAGGCAGTTACTTTGGACTTTGTGTCCATTGTTTCCACTGACCAGCAGATTTGTATTTCTTTAAATTATTATGCAGTCTGTTTTGTGATTCAGAGCTCCCAGATTAATCAGGACAAACTGTGTTTGCTGTGATGTTAACTTGCAGCATAAGAACACTTAGGTGGAGTAATACACGTTGTGAGAAGTCCTAGTGATGTTGTTCTGATGGAATGCCTCTTGTCCAAACGGAGAACTCAGTCCAAACTAACTTCCTAAATGACTAAACATTTATGATGATATTTTCTTTTAAAAATAAATGTTTTTTTAGACTATACATAAAGAACAACCGTAGTTTACAGTTACAACTTATTCTAAATGCAAAGTGAAAAAATGTCAACAGTAGTGTAATCAGTTTTGCTGCTCTTGATCCCTCTATCAAAGTAACATCCAAGTAGTCATGAAGCAAGGCTTGTTGGAAGCATATTTGAAATATGCATTTCAATATCTCTGTTGTGTTAAAGGGAAAAGGTTTGAAAATATTCCTGCAGATACTTCACTAATCCCAAATGTCAAAATGGTTCCATGCTCTGTTGAGCTGGTTTGGTTATACTCTATTTTTGGGCGTGTGTGATTGGGGGAATCTTACAGTGACAACCTATTACTTACAGTCCATGGTGACAGCACACAGTGGGTATCAGAGGTGAGCCAGCTGGCTTCCCTTAGAGCAGTCTGTGCTGTAGCCTTATATCAATAGGCAAAGATTTAACTGCTTAAAATTGGAGAAACTAGATCTAGTTCAGCATTAATGATTGATTTGTTCACATGCTGACTCTGAGGTAGAACAGGTTGATCTAAAATCTGTGTGTGTGTGTGTGTGTGTGTGTGTGTGTGTGTGTGTGTGTGTGTGTGTGTGTGTGTGTGTGTGTGTGTGTGTGTGTGCGTGTGTGTGCGTGTGTGTGCGTGTGCGTGTGTGCATGCGCCTGTGCCTGTCTGTGTCGTGACTCTTATTAGTCACTGTTGAATGACTCCATATCAAGCCGTCTGTCCACGCTGGGCTTTGGTCAGCACTGCCCATGACTATCTGTGAGTGTGTTTGTCTGTCCATCTGAGATCTATGTTTGTCCCGTTCCCGTGGCGATAGCATGCGCAGACCAGCAGTGCTCCCTCTGTTTCACAAACACAGTTCCTGCCAATGAGAGAGGAACTCATAACGACCTCCACCAGGAGAGAAAAGTGCATCTCTTGCTGTTTGTTTGTGTCTGTGTGCACTGTGCAGGTCTCCTCCTGTTGTTTATATTAAATATGTTACCAAGAAAGGGCAAGAAAACACAGCTCAGCTTGGGACAGAACTAAAACTTCTGATGGTGTGTGTGTGTGTGTCAGTGTTAGTGGCGAGCTGGTTGATTAAAGCTGATGCAGCAGATATAAGTTCTGTGTTTATTTGGTGTGCACAGCAGATGGAGTGTGTTCGCCTGTGAAAAGTCATGCTGCTTTACCCGACGTCCCCCATCGTCGTTCCACCAAGTTTAAGGCTATTATTGGCACCAACAAAAAAAAAGAAAAACATATTATATTAAACCTGATGCTCCAAAATATGTCTATGCCATTATTTATACACATTTTGCCAAGCAAGGCTATTTCTACTTTCTTTCAAATTCTCATTTTTTTAGGAACTTTTTTTTGGTTCTGACTAAACCTTACATGAAGAAGCTTAGAATAATTATGTCTTACAAAACT